AATGCGAATGTTAAAATTAATGCGCAAGCTCCGCAGCTGCGAATGCGAATGCGAATATTCCCAACAACCCTGGTCTGTACATACGTTTCTGCCGCACACTTAAGTGGGAAAACTGGTCGGCAAAATATCCGAAAATGGAATCGGTCAATGCACAAAAATCCGCACTTCATTCACTTTTTTTCTTTTCTTTACTGGCTGGGTTCATATCTAGGTTAGAACATGCAAAGAGTTGCCACCTGGTAAAAACTTAAATATAATTAAGTTAACTGAATGAATACAATATTTGTATCAATCGACTTTAATGTTGCTTAAACAATTTTTTTATTGTTAGAATGCGTATGGGTTTGCTTGGGATATAAGTTAGAAATGAAAAGATGTAAATAACCAACCTATTTATTTAAAAATACTATCTCGGACGTCATTGAAGTTACTTCAGGAGTCCCTGAAGGTAGCCACCTAGGCCCGTTTCTGTTCTTGCCTTTCATAAACGATACTTTACAAAAAAACTTCTTCTTTTCTATGTGCTTTTATCCATCTTTATATGAACTGTGTTTTTAATTGTGAAAATTTGTGTTTTATATCTGTTATTTGTTCATCGGAGAAGTTGTCAGATGCTAACAGACCATTTTCAAGAAAAATTAGTTTTTTTCTCAAAATTAATAGAATTTTGTAGATGCATTTTATCAAATTAATGTTTGCACGTCACTATTCTATAGCAGGAACGAGTTGGTGTCTCTAAAACAAAGAAAATACTTATAAATGACAAAATGTGTATGGAAACGATAATAACATTTTTTTTTAGATTTACTTTAATTATTGGTCATAAAAAGCCTATCTGTAGCTATCGCTAGCTAATTTTTATGCAGTAATACTATCAAAGCTCCATTCTATAGAACACAACTAGGAATGTAAAGTGGAAATGCGTGGAAGTATAACTAAAAGATTTAGGTTTACAAAGTAATGACAAAATAATCGTTAAAAAATTCAATACTTACGATTACTGATAATATTTCTTAGAATAAATATAAATAAATCGAAACTATTTAAAACAAATGAAGATTTACATGTATCTTTAGACTTCATAAAAACTTTTAGTTATACAATAACCACAATAATAATATTCACTGGTGAACGCAACTGTTTCACAATGAATGTTGTAAAATAACACGTGCACTATCACAAACTGACAAGTTCCGACTGAGATACTCCATCAAAGCGAAGTCATAAGTTCGAGGCAGAAGTTGCATATTGCTCCCCAACTATACAACTGTATCAGGTAGTATTTTTTTGTTCCTACGGTATGTTTAACAAAATAGAGTTATGACCGCCCAGATCGGTCAAATACCGATATGGGGTGCGGTGACAACCTTCCTTGATGTACTGGATAAATAAAACATTTTCAAAACTATTTTATTGAAACCCATATTGCAACTTATTACAGAATTTGGTGGTAACCCTATTCATTTTTTTAGTATTTTAACGAAAGATTGCTTAACACTATTTCGGTTGAAATTTTAACTTTTAATTCGACATTTCGAACAAAATACCTTAAAACTACCTTTTTAAGCCTCTTTTGTCTGAGACCCAAATAATTTCCTTAATTCCCACATGCTCTTTATAAATTAAGCCTTTTCAAAACCATTTAGACTTATATCCATATTGTAATAATTCATTTAACTTATGCAATAATTTGACATTTTTTAAAAAGGTAGCAACCCTCCCTCAAACAATTACACAGTGCAACAAATTTCAAAAGTTTGGAGGTGATGGAAATAGGACCAACAGCATTTTATTAAGCTGATCAAATAATGAAAAAATGCCAAAGGATTTGAAAAAGTTGGTTTCCATTTATTTTTTAAATCAATTTGTAATTTCGTGTTTTCAGGTGTAATTTCTTGAAATAAAAAAAATAAAGACATTTTCTGTACTTGTTTGACCCCAAATTCACGACTTTAAATCGATAGGGCTATTCAGGATCTCGTGCATATGCTCTTGCATTTGCATATTCGTTGCATTTGTGAATTCACAACAATAAAATGCATACGGTTGCCATGAAAGCCAACATGAACTCTGCAAATGCAATTCCAACTGCAAATCCCAGTCCATTTCCACAACATCCTGAACAGCCCTGATGTAAAAACGATATGGGAACCGACTTTTAAAAATGCGTTGGTATTTATTCATATTTTGACGTCTTTTAATGAATACAATTGGTCTCATTCCTATCACTTTTTGAGTGTTGCACTGTGTTATTTTTAAACGTCAGCCTTCTGAGGCGAAAGAGGTTTATTTCGTTATCTTCTCTCCAGTACTGTACCACGAATAATTGTCGAGGAATGCAGTATGAAAAATTCATTTTTTTATGGAACATGCCATTCCCCAATAACGCCCTTTGGCTGCATTTTTTAAATCTCCATATCAAGCTTCAGTACTCTACCAGAAATACTTGCAAAGATATGCAGCATGAAAAATTCCGTTTGTTTCGGAAGTGCCACGCCCCCTTGTCCAATCGAGATTAAAGCTATCCTATATTTTAAGTTGGACACCAGTGTACAAAATTTTATAATGTTGTGGTCGAGTAGTTAAAGCGTGAAATCGAAACAATTAAACAAACTCACTTTCGGACTTATAATAGGAGTGTACTCGTACGCCCAACTATCTAAAGTTTTAGAAAACTTTTACTGGTTTCGCGTTCTCGTACCCAAAAAACTTGCAAAGTAGGGGAAATTGAGAGAGCGAAATGTGAAAGAGAGCTGCAAATTTCTGCTGGAAAAATTTTTCCCAGCTAAAACTTGCAAGCAAGAAAATCAGCTGATCACAAACACATGTTTGTAAATAAACAAAAGAAAATATGGCCTTTTTGAGTTATTTATTGCAAATTTTATTATTAATGCTAGTATATAACTAAAAAGTGCGTAAATTTAATAAGCACAACGTTTGTTGAGTTTATTTTTCGTTAATTTGCTATTAATCTCCAGTTTATTTACTTTAGTGCGTGCTGACTATGGTTGCCGTATGACATTTTTCGTTTGTACTATAAATTTCCTTAAAAATATACCAAAATAGATTTAAATGAAGCATGCTGAAATGTTTTTTTGCTGAAGTTATCGGTTTTGGTAGGTTGATTGTTGAAATGAAAATTTTATAATTTTAAACCTACTCTATTACATTATTTTGGATCAAAGATGGGTGTTTGGAGGAGATACTCTTGTTCTTAATGCGTCACCATGTGATATCAGAAATAATTATGAGAAAAATAACTTATGCATTCCGATATAATTAATTCGTATTTTAAAAAGGTTTTTCTTATCCAAAACTATTCAATTGTATAAAATGCCAAATCGGGGGAAAATGCACCAAGCAGAAAATAAATTGCCAAATTAATCACCAGTGGCAACTGTGCAAGTGATCAGCTGTTTCGAAGGTTGCAAGTTTTTGCAATTTTGCGTTCTCGTACTTCTGTTGATATTTCGTCTCTTTGAGAGCGAATGCTGCTAAATTCTCAGAACTTTTTCTGCTGGAGAATTTTGTCCTCTCAATACGAGTACACACCTAATATTAAAATAAGGATACGTTCAAAATTTCAACTTTGTGGGAAAACGCAATCAAAGTTTGATCAATTTATACATTTGGAATACCAAAACGCTAATGAAAAGACACGTATCTTCGCCATTTTTGTGAAGTTTAGTCATTTGTTCGGCTGAACACATTGAAATATCCAAAAACGTAAATTTGAATTACACTCAATATTATTAAACGTGTAATATATACTTTTCTTAGTTGTCGTCCCTCTTGGATTTCCATCATCGACTATAATTGCCACTGCACTAGCGTCATGAATACAGATTTTTCAATCAGGCACATTTTAAATTAATAAAACTTACTTATTTCAGTAATTAAGTTACTGTTGACAAAAATACAACCATGTGCAAAAACCTGCTAGCAAATTCCTCTTTCTTGCAAATTCTCTTTTCATTATTTTTAACTTAATATTAATCGAACTCCCCTTTTCTTGTAAATAATTTAAAATGTTTCTATTTTCTGGTTTTTGTATACATGTGTGCAGGTTCATGGTGAAGACGTGTGATACAAAATGAAGTCAAATCAAAAGATATTTATTCGGTTAATCCAAGGCGAATTTATATAAGGTGGTGTTACTAGCTCAGCTGATTTTGTGTGTGTTTCGCCGCACGGCTTCTGATATCAAATTGAAAAATTTTGTTTGAATTCAAGGCGAATTTATACAAGATGGTGTTGTAAAATCAGCTGATTTCTTCGCCTTACATGTATTTTGTTTTTGCTTTTACTGATTTGACAGCACACCCATCAAAAGCAAAAACAAAATACATGTAAACTTTGGAGCGAATTGAGGTTTGACATAACACCCTCCATACAAAATACATATGATTGTCGTTGTTGTAATCTAAATTCGCCAGTAACACCACCTTGTATAAATTCGCCTTGTTTGATTTTCCACACACACTCCCACTCACAGATTTTGACAGATTATGCCGCTTTTTATTAGCTCGGGATGTAACTATGTAATATTGATGCGCCTAAAAGATGCAGCGATTTCTATTCTCAAGTTACATACCTGATGACAGTACGAATGGCAATTATAATAGGGAGGTTTTAGTTTTTTAAACTATAATTTTATTTAAGGTATATGACACTATTCACACCCACCCAAGGCGAATTAATATAAGTTGGTGTTACTAGCTCAGCTGGTTTTGTGTATGTGTTTCGCCGCACGGCTTCTGATATCAAATTGAAAAATTTGGTTTGAATTTCTACACACACTCTTACAGATTTTGACCGTTTATGCCGCCAAAGCAAAAACAAAATACATGTAAATTTGTGTTTTTGTACTCCTGCTATCACCTAATATTAATTTGCCTTGCACCCACCTCTCAATATTATATGAATACGTATAAAGTTTGGGGCTTCTCCTGAACTTAGATTTGTTTAGTCGTTACGCATTTTATCACATTTTCACTCACCATAATATAAGTCCCATGCGCGCTAAAATAAAGTTAAAAGTTAATGTTAATTTACAAAACAAAAAAAAATATTTCGTTTGACTTACTTCATCTATATCAATTTTTAATGGGTTGCCATTAAAATTTACTTTTTGTGGCATGCCCTCGCGTATAGTAACTTCCCGTTTTACTGCCGAGGGTGATGGCGTGAGATTGAATAAGTCTCCCCGAATATCCGTTATATCAGAATAATCTCTTTGGCTATATAATGATCGTTCAGACTCTTCGGGAATGGCATCCCAACGTGTTAACCCTGATATACGTGCTGTTGGTATTTGCGTTATCGGTGGAACTCTGAAATCGATATGACCTTCGGTGCTATTCGTAGGCGTCAGCGAAGAATCGGAGTAGTTTGTATCATTAGCAGAGTTTGTTGGTGTTAAATCGAGCGATGAGCTGGAATTTTCAGCCGATTTTAGATTGCTAAAATCAAGTTGATAACTGTCAGTAGAATGTGTAGTATCCGTACAGACAATCTGGCAAATAAAATAATATACAAAAGAGGTATTGTAACGTATGACATCTAAAAGAATTTTTAAACAGAGATTAAGAAGTAAAATGTTGAATATTTTAATATTATGTTTAATACCGCATGTTTTAAACTAGTTATATATCGTGTACACCACATACAGCCCTACCCCGTATTGAAATACTACGTGTTTCACAAATTTTGATAATTTGACAAACCTGCAGATGCTTAAATTCATATTCCAAGGGTTCATCAGCACCGGGCAAGTCAGCAGTTAGCCTATTCATAAAAGTTAGCACTTGTTGCATGGGTGGACGTTCTGCGGGTTCTTTGAGCCAACACGCTTGCATAAGATTTTGTATCGGTTGAGGAATTTTGGGATTCATTGGCGGACGATGGCCTGTAAAAGTGCACAGATTAATATCAGATGTAATTAACGTCACAAATATTCGCCAAGGGTTTTGGGGAATTTGGTTAAAGTTCCAATCCTTGGATAACATATAAATCCGATCAAATAATAGGGCTGGCTTTCATACCAGTTGGGGGCATATATCAGTTTTGTACACGGATTACTCGCGAAGAAATTATAAGTGGATAGACTTATTCAGAGTATCAATGCAATTTGCCTCTTCGGGAAAATTGGTAAATTAAGGGTTTTTATAGGCCAAGAGCATTATTTTGGAGATTTGATAATGTACTTTAATTGAAGTTACCTATGTATAGATTTATTCCGCCTGCGAACGGCAGATATATTTCTAAACATATATATTTTTTTGTGTAAAAAGCTTTTTATTTCTATCTTCTTTTTCGAGATTTGCATTAGCAACCGCTGTTAGAAATAAATATTCGTAACTAACCTTTATGAATTTGCCACTGTATTGAGTAAGCGTTTGTGATCTCCGCAAAAGGCTGTTGTCGCATTAGCACCACCCACAATACTGTGGCCCAACTAAAAACATCACATTTCTCGTCATACTTGCATGATGAGAATACCTAAGGAAGAATGAAGTTATTCATATAATTTGAAGGTAGGATTTCTTAAATTAAATTCACCTCTGGCGCCATATACACAGCCGTACCCCTGTTGTTAGTCATTTTTGTAGCCTGATCCGCGACAGTTCCAAAATCACAAATCTTCAAATGACGTCCTTTATTTGTAAGTAGTAAATTAAGTGGCTTCAAATCACGATGAATTAAAGGTTTCGGCTTCATTGCATGAAGATAAGCGACACCCTAACAAAGATTCATAAAAGAATTAAGACATATAGCTATAGGTTAAAATCAATGTTAGTTTACCTCTGCACATTGGCGCGCCCAACTCATAGCATGTGCCGTCGAATAGTAGGGTTTCACCTTGCCATGCAGGAAGGTGTGTAATGACCCACCTTCAATAAATTCCATTATGAGGTATACTGAGTGCTGATTGGCTGTTATCGCATAAAGTTCTATAATGTTGGCATGGCTCACACGAGATAGTTGTCTGACCTACAAACCCGAAATAAGTTATTTCGAGTCGCTCTTAAATAACTAGAGAAAATTTTATATATTACCTCTGTTTCAATTGCTTCGGCTTGATCAGGATTTGCCATGAACTCTTTTGCTGCCACGAGTCGGTTTTGCCACTTCACTTTGTAAACCACACCAAAGGAGCCATGACCGATTTTCTGAAACCATTTCAAGTGAAATATACCACTTAATTTTAAATGTGCAAATAATTTTACTACTGATAATAACACGTTGACCTACTTCTTCGAACGACAGTTCTTCAAAAGGTACTATAGGTTTGAATTGATCTAGACCATTAGTTATACCCAATGTGTGCGTTAAAGTCTCGTCCGGTAAAGACGCCAAAGGTGATATTTTGTTTGTACCCGAAATTTTTATAGTGGGGTTTGGTGTTTGTTGTTCATTTGTCTTTCCATTAGACTCATCAGAGCCTGCGGCCGAAGAAGACGTTGCACCATCATCATCAGGTATCACTACCACCTCGACCTCTTTGGTTTTCGTTTCAAGTGTCATGTCGTTCGTGGCCTGCTCCGGGTCTGCCATCTACTGCAATCAACCTTTTTCAAAAATTACAAAGATGTGCATAGGAAGGTATTTTCCGACTTTCCACACTCATTTATGGCTGCTACAGCAGCTTAGCTGTTAAAGTAAATTGTTTTGGTTCGGTAACACGCATTTAATGGTTATTTTTGGAAATATTTTGTTCACTAAAATTACGACGATTTTCAACTTTTGTATTTTTTATACCCCTTTTTATCAGTTATCAGCTGAATGCTGCGAACGTCAAATGATAACAAAGACCAAATTGGAGCTTAGTGAGTTGCCCGACATCTATCGGTATTCATTCTTGATTCTCTGGTTAAACATANTTTTGCGTATTTTTTAATTTCCGTTAATTTAAATTCAGTTGGGTTTGACACTTTTCAGGATTTTGCCAGAAAAAATTCTTCTGACTAAATCTGACTACTTCGGACTGATGAGAGTCACTCTCATCGAGTGTTGCTCTCTCATTTTTGCTGTCATTTCCGAGTTAAGGAACGCTTTTTGGACTAAATCTGACTACTTCGGACTTTTTCTGACTATTTCTGGGAGATAAGGAACGCTCCTATTACAAGGTGTTATCGGTTGGCAACTTCTCGCTCCTATTCCGCCATATTGACTGGCTTAGCTGAAACAGTTCTATGCAGCGTTTTTGCTGCATTTAAAATGCAACATTTAGCACTTTCGAACATATGTTTTCGAAGAGCGTTCATGCTATAGCATTTAGCAAATGTACATTTACGCGAGTTCGAAATCGTATGCTTTTGACAAACAGCCGTGTTCCAGTCTCTTATTTAGATGCGTATATATTACGATCAATTCTCACGCAGAAGATAATGTGCAAAAACCCTACTGAAAAGGAAAAAATAAATTTTAAACCAAAAATTCAATACAAAAACTTGAATTGTTTTAACCATAAACGAACATTTGTTTGTGTATATATTTATTTGTTGGTGCATTCAATTAAAATTTCCTCACTTAATTAGGAAACAAACCAAACAGAGTTGATCACAAATTGATCCAGATTTCTATCAGTATCAAATCGATGTTGAATTTGCTTAACTTTTCTTTATCCAAATATGTAATGCAAAATAAAAGAAATCTCGATCGGCGATCACTGAAACGCAGCTAGCAACTGTATACCCGAAAAAGCAATGTTGCCACTTTTTCTCTTTAAACCATGTTCGAATCGTGGAAATCTTGGAAGATCACAGGGTTGCTTTTAGCATTTAGATTCTTAATGCAAAAATGTAGTTGCATTTAGTTGCATTTAGGTGACGAATTTTGTATGGATAAATGTACATTTAGAGTAGCATTTAGAGCTAAATGCGCTAAATGTGCTTTTACGCGTAAGCAAAAACAGCCTATTTAATTGCAAAGCAATGGAGTGAACTAAAACGTTTGCTGAAGCAGCCTCAGTTGCAAATCAATGGAGTGCACTAAAACGTTACCTATTCTCTAAAAGATTAGGTGAAAAATGCAATATTTTCGCATTTAGCAAAATTAAAACACGTTTTTCGCTGTAAATTGCACTGTTTTGGCAGTTTACACTCGTTCTTCTTTTCGCTTATTCTTTGTTTACTTGTGGTACACAAATGTCAACGGCCAGGACGGCGCAATCTTGTATTCTATCATTCTTGATTATAAAACAGATTTTTGACATTTGTTCAAATGTAAACATTAAGCATAGCTCTGCCACATTGAAATTTTTTGAGAGGGGAGATTTTCTTTTAAATATTTGGAATTTTAAGAAAGAGTAAAATTTACATAAAAAAATAGCAAGTTGATGTGTTCGATAATCAAATTTGAACGTTTTTCTCAAGCGTTTAAAAAGAAGAAAATGAAATAAAATAAAATCCAGTTTTGAAACATTTATAATACCTAATTTTATTAAAAAGCTTTTTTTACTTCACTTTAAACAAAATAAATGTATTTACATAACAAAACTGTTAGATATTTCGTCATTAAAGGTTGGTTCGAAACTAGGATTCGGAGAAGGTTGAATGGTCTCATTTCCCTCACAATTAAAGGAGCCAAAATTCAGAATTCTCCTGAAGTGAAGTATCTAGAAGTAATTCTGTATACAAAACTATCGTGGAAATCTATGGTGGAACACAAAACTTCTAAAGAATTGGCAGCATTTGGCAATGTAAACAGGTCTTTGCCAAAACGTGGGGTGTGTTACCATAGGTAATCCTCTTATACCTCAGAGCCATAATTATCTATGCGTCAGTGGTATGGTGGAGCAGATTCTCAATCAAGAGCGTGGGAGGTCTGCTTGCAAAACTTCAAAGAACTACTGCCGTGTGCGGTACGAAATATTTCTCTACAATACTTGGCGATACTCTAGATGCACTGCTGCACTTACCGTCATTAACTTTTCTCTTGGCAAGTATGCTTCGGTCTTTCAGGCTGAGGTATTTGCAATCCTCAAGGATATGGACTACGTGGTGGAAAATAGGTAGAGCGGCCAAGCTGCACTTAACGCATTACTTACCTCCAGACTCTGCGTGCCAGTTCATTTGGGAGTACCTCCTATCGTCCATAACTATAATATTTATCATATCATGAATTTCAATTTTCGTTTTTGCGCATATCGAAATTTCTTTTTAATTTTGTAAATATTTTTTTTGCAATATATGATTATTGAGGACTAGGTATGGCAGCACGAAATGTCATAATCTGCTTAATTGTCAGGTAGGTCAGGTAGGACCATGTAGTCCATTTGTGGTATATTGGAGTACTAACAAAAGTGTTCCTCTGTCATGCTGTAGCGGACCAACTCGTGTCTCTGCTCCAGGTTATTGCTTGTTACCCGATAACTGCTCGTGTTTTAACGAAATGTGATTGAAGTTGAGCATTTGAAAACACATTTGCATGTCTGGCTGTAGCTGAACGTGTAGAAATGCTCGCTGTTAGTTGTGAGCTCCCAGCATGTTCGGGTTCAAATGCCGTCAGAGGAACATGTAATTTTTAATTTTTGTCTTGGTTTTTATTAATTTCGAAAAAGCATATGAGAAGTGAAGAACAAAAGCGTGTACAAACGAAAAAATATAACAACAATGCCATTGTTAATATGTTGGAGTAGTTTTGTGCTACTCTGATGTAATGCAGGGATGGAGTATATGGTCCTGCCCTAGGACATCGCAATGTTAATTGGACCATATTTTTTATATGAATTGTGGTTAATTTTGGAGTATTCCTTGGTCCTTAGGGAGTACTCTTTACACGTGTGCATGGAGTAGTCGCGATTTTTGCAGGGTTAATATGGCGCCCGAAAAGTGACAATGAAACTACTTCTTTTTTGTACCATGCGAATATACTATTAAAAAAAAAAAAACAAATTTTGTTTAGAAGAAAATAGGAAATTTTATATTTTTCCCCAAATGGGAATTTCTTCCCGTTTTTCTTCTTATTCTACTGAGCAGAGAACTTATGCCATGTTCTGACCGACATCGAAAACATGTTTTCGTTGCTAAAACTGGATTTCGACCTAAAACTTGTGTTTTCGTCCATGTAAAATCTGTCAAACGAAAAACAGTTTTCGCTGAAAACTACTTGAAAACTCATGTTCCACTCATTCCAATCGGTGTCTTTACTAGTTTTTTTCGATTATTTATCGAAGTGGAAGTCATATTTAATCATCTTTAATACGCCATTTCGGATTTATTGTTAATTGGCTGGCCAAAGTAAAATAAGAATGAAAGTAAGAGGCTGCTAATGAAAAGAAAATCTTAAGATTATTAAAAAAATAAAATTAATAAAAAAAAGAAAAAATACTAAATTTAAAAAAATAAAAAATCCTCTATGCCCGAGGAGTGCTCGAACCCGAACCCTCTCGACCGGCAGCCTAATGCTTTGACCACTCGGCCATTGCGACTCCTCGGGCGACGCGGCAAAAGGTATACGTAGACGCTATCAGTTCACATATTTTGTGAACTCTTTGTGACTCTCTCCTACTGAATAGCCAAACCATCTCAAGTCACGAAAATAGTCACTAATTGCTAATCTCAAATTTAGTGAATTACTGAATCCCAGGGTAAATCACACAATTTTGAGTATTTGGAACAGCTGACGAAAGACGTGCGCAAAAAGTTGAGAGTTGGCTAGGGACACGATATCGAACCGAAAGTATCGATATGGTACTCATTTAAAGTATCGCTTTAAAAATATCGGGTACCCATTAATATCGGAATAAAAAGACTCGTTATTCCAAATATCGATACCAAAAACCAAAAAATTTATCTGAATATAGGTTTCGAATATAAGCCGCTGAGGTATAGTGGTTAGAAGTGTGCAAACCTTGAAAATGAAAAACAGCTTCCCATAAAATACAATCGCCATTCAGAGTCGACATAAAACTGTAGGCACCCCCTTTGTGCCACAACATTAAGGCCCCCTTGACAAATCGGAGGAGAAGTTCGGCCAAACACTAACATATTGTGTAAGCGCTGGACTTTATTATTATTACAACACGTAGAGATTGAGGTGTTGACTTAAACACCAAGGCCGCGGGTTCAAATCCCACCACATGCTATCCTAACCATAGTACAAATTTAAAGCCCAATTTATATCGGGAAGCATTGTTACAGGACAACCTTATATGGGTGTTTCCATCGGAAGGTCCAACACGACAAAAAAAATAAAAATCTTATATCTAACGTATTTACGGGCCGATTTGTCTGCTTTTTAAAATATATACTGGCTATGTAAGTAGAATCATGTTTGCGTAAAATGATCCTCCTAGGTGGCGCCAAGGTTGAGATATTTCCAAAAACCGGGCTGAAATAATCGACAAAAGGCGAATTTATAAGAAATAATATACAACAATTGGAACAGCAATCTACAAGGAATGAGTCTATGGTCTGCGAGAAACTAAATATCTACAATCAATATTACGTGTATATACAATTTAAAAGGAGCGAAGCAGTTTAAAACAAGGATAAGTACAAGCAAAATAGTAGATAAGAGCGAATTTAAACAACTATTTTAAGTAAGTTAAGTAGTGGCGATGGAAGAGCCTAATTGTGCAAAAGACTACTCGTTGTCGCAGCTGCGCGAGTGGTTAAACAAGTTAGGTTTACCTGCTTCAGGTTGCAAAACAACACTTGCGTTAAGGATCAGCGAAGTACCAGTATTATTATTATTATTGTTGAGGATAAAGCACTGCGACCTTAAGATCTATTGTGTCCCCTTCATGGATTATAGAGTGTCTATTAATCCAGTAACCGAGATAAACTTTAGTATGCAACGTAAATCTGCGGATTTCACTTCGCCTTTGGT